AAAAATATATATTATAGATAAATTATTATTTCAATTTATTCTAAAAGATAAACAATTATTATTTTTTATAAACATATAACTTTTAAATCTCTAACCAAAATTATTTTTACAAAAAATGATATTATCATTGATGTATAGTTACAGATATATAAAAATATATGTACAGTATAAATTTGTATAATTATCCAGTATTATATTATTTTTATAATAATATAATCTGTAATTTCCGACAATTATAATTATCCTAAAAATTAACTGATAATTAGTTTTACATTTTAAAAGGTTAAAAAATTTGTATTAGTAATAATTTAAAAATATTTACTTTATTAATTTTAACTTCGATGCGAAGCTGAGAAGGTATTGGTTTTACTATGATGTGTTTTTTTTTATTTATTTATTCATTTTTTTTTTGTGTCTGTTACCACTTTTTCTCAGCTCTCACCGAACCGATTTCTTTCAACGATACGTCAAAAGATCACAAATTATATCTAGTCGAAGACATTACCCTCAAAAATGAACAAATCAATATATTTTTTTTATAGATGATGTCTTTACCTATCATTTGGTATATTTTTTTATAAATTTAACCCTTTACCAGCCCACAAGGAGGGATTCAAAATGACAACTTTTTCACAAAAAATTAACTTTTTCAACTTAACTCTTGACAGTGCTGCGAAAGGTCTGACACTTTTATCTTAAATTAAAGCTATTTCAATATACCTTATTATGGAATAATAAAATTTCGGACTTTATTTTGTCTTCACGGTGAAAACGGCTACCGTATGCTATTTTTGTGTGAAAATTCTCGATTTTATTTTTAGATTTTTAACTTTAAAATGTTATAACTTTTTGAAAAATGGATCAATACAATCTTTTTATAAGAAATAATATTTATATACCTCTTTCATTTGACATACTTTTTTTTTAAAACTGACCATTTCCTTAATACAGGGGGGGTTCAAAATATAAAAATGCATATAGAAAGTAGAACTTTTTCAACTTAATTTTTGAAAGTGTTACGAATATACTGACACTTTTATATATATCTTAAATTAAAGCTTATGTAATATACTTTAATATTAAAAAAAAAAATTTCGGACTTTATTTTGTCTTCATGGTGAAAATAGCTACCGTATTCAAAAATATGCTATTTTTGTGTTAAAATTCTTGGTTTTGTATTTTATTTTATTATAAGGGGATTACACTGATTTTCATAAATATTATATCAATAATTAGATTGACATAGTATAGAAAGTTAAGCATATTTAATTTTTTTTGTTTCTTTGAAGTTGAGAAAAATAACTTTAAAATTTGAACTAGCTAAATTTCCATTTTTATTAAGTGACGAATGCGACGTACGGTTTCTGAGACGGTTACACTTGGGTCTTTCATGCCTGTGGCACTGAATTTTTTCTTAATTCTTTTTGAGTTAGAAAAAAATGTTTAACTCATTTGATTTTTATCTCATTTAGATTCAATAACTTCAATAAATATCAAGGATCCCATTACTGTAGTCTCCTCTCGTGAGAAGAAATTCATATTAATATTATATTACTATGTGGTTTTTTTTGTAGCTATCATTTATTTTTTCAGCTCTCACTTGACCTACTTTTTTTTTTAAATTAAACACTATCTACAGATTTGCATCGAAGCGTTTTTTATGATAATGATTTCAATTACTGTCATATATCATCTATACTGGACCCAACTATGCCACGACCCCACTGTGCTGGGTTTTTTGCTAACGAAAATATTCTGAAATATTAGAACCGTTAAAAATAAACAACTTTGATTCATTTTTTCGAAATTTTAAACTACTATAATTTTTTTTAGAAAAACTATTTAACTCAAAATTTTGTTTGGTAATAAGAAAATTTTCTTTCGATCATTTACATATTTGATAATCCCGCAAAAAACTTAAAGGGGTTTAAACATCGTAAAAAATTGTGTCATTTATTTTTATTTTTATTTAAAAAAACTGACAGTTAATTTTGTATGCTTTTAATCTGCATGAAATTAAAGCTTTTGAATATAAAGAAATTCATAATAATATTATTTTACTATGTGGTTCATTTTGTAGCTATCATTTATTTTCTCAGCTCTCACTTGACCTACTTTTTTTTTTAAATTAAACACTATCTACAGATTTGCATCGAAGCGTTTTTTATGATAGTGATTTTAATCACTGACAGTTATCATCTATATTAGACCCAACTATGCCACGACCCCACTCTGCCCCCACCCCACTGTGCTGGGTTTTTTTTTGTGTCTGTTACCACTTTTTCTCAGCTCTCACCGAACCGATTTTTTTAAATGATACGTCGAAAGATCACAAATCGTATCTAGTCGAAGACATTACCTTCAAAAATTGAAAAACTTTCCCTCGTTCCCCGTAAATGAGGAAAACCTCCAAAAAAATTACAAATTTAAAAATCCTAATTTTCGAAATTTTATCAATTTTTTTACTTAAAATTGCCATAATTTTTTTAAAAATAACCAAATCAATATCATTACCTTTTATTTGGTACATTTTTTTTATAAATCTGACCCTTATCTGCCCACAGGAAGGGATTTAAAATTATAACTTTTTCAACTTGACATTTGAAAATGTTCCCGAAAGTCTGACACTTTTATATATATCTTAAATTAAAGCTAATGTAATATACTTTATTATGAAAAAAAAAAATTTCGGACTTTATTTTGTCTTCACGGTGAAAATGGCTACCAAATGCTATTTTTGTGTGAAAATTCTCGATTTTATATTTTACATTTTTTACTTTAAAATGCTATTACTTATTGAAAAATGTATGGATCAACACAATTTTTTTACGAGAAATAATATTTTTAATATCCCTTTTTCATTTGACATACTTTATCTTAATCAAGATATTAATAAGGAACTAGCTAATCATATAGCTTTTGGAATAATCCACCATTTTTTTAAAATTAAACACTATCTAAAGATTAGCATCGAAGCGTTTTTTTTTATAGTGATTTTAATCACTATCATATATTCTTATACTTGATCCAACTATGCTACGTCACCACTGTGCCGCGACCTCCCTGTGCTGGGTTTTTTTTTTTAACTGTTTCTACAATAAAATTTAAAATTAGTTTTGTAAAATTATTGTTTTTATCTTGAGCGTAAAAATAATCTTAAATTACAAAAATCATTATATTTATTATAATAATCGCATTACTTACTGGAAATCAAGTGATTATATGATTATTTCAAAATCTTGAAATACTAAGTAGTAGTTAAAACAGTAGTTAGTATTTCAATTAAGAAAATAAGTGGTCTATAAAAAGAAAGGAAAAAATAGCTGTGTATGGTATTAACAGATTTGGAGAAAGCGTATGACAGAGTATCTAGAGAGATTTTAAAGTATTAATGAAAAAAGGTACATCATCATCGTGCATATTGTTCGCTGATAATATAGTGTTAATAGCAGAAGATTAATCAACAGATGATGTGTGAAGATCAGCTCTTGAAGGATAGGGATTAAGAATAAATAGGAGTAAGACAAAGTATATAGAGTACGAGTTTGACAAAGGAAAACATACGATAGATGAAATGAGGAGATAAGTAACAATAATCTAAGACGTGATAGGAGAGGTGGAAAGTTTTAAGTATTTAGGATCAGTTATGCAAAAGAACGGTAGTTTTGATGAGGATGTAAGACAGTATTATGTGTGGGTGGGTGAAGTGGGGAGAAGCGTTTGGTATGTTATGCAATTAGAGAATTCCAGTGAGACTGATAGGTAAGTTCTATAATATTGTAGCAACATCAGCTACAGTTTAAAGTGATAGGCAGATAAAAGGAGAATAGAGCAGATAATGAGTGTAGTAGAGATGAGAATGCTTAGATGGAGTGAAGTGATTAGAGATGATAGGATAAGAAACGAACATATAAGAGGGAGTTAGATGTAGCAGCAATCGTGGATAACATAATAGAAAATGGACTTAGATGGTTTGGTCATGTTATATAGAGAGAGGAATCGGAAGCTTTAAGAATAATTATGGAAATGTATATTGTAGGGAGAAAAGTTAGAGGAGACCAAAAAAGATATGTTATTAAGTGTGATATGAGAGCGGCTAATGTATGCGTAGATAATGTGGGAGATCGTATCAAATAGAAATTTAGGATAACGATTGCTTACTCCAATTAATTAGGATAAAGGCGAGGAAAAAAATAAGTACTGGAGTATAAAAAATGTTTAAACTTGTACTTTGCAAATTATTATGATTTCTAAAATAAATACTAAACGTGACTCCCAAATCTGATTGTTTTTGTCACTAGACATTTCTAGCTATATTTTTCCAACCGCCCCGATATAAAAATACTATTATCTATTTCACATATTATAGATCATAATACTGATCAATTCATTATTTAATCGACTTAACTAGAAAAATACTTTAATATTTTTCTTGTTTGGTAGATTGAGCAAATGAGTTTGTTTGAATCGGTTTAAAAAAATTAACTATATTGAAGAGTTTAATCGTAGAATATTTATTATAGTTTTGTAATAAAATTAATGGTGTGAAAGGTTGTATAAGAAATTCTTAATGGGGAGGTGATTGCGGTCGCAATACTTATATTTGGTGGGTAGTAAATTATCATTATGGTACATACTTCTCCTGATAAATATCCGTAATTTCAGAAAGAAGATAATTCAACAATAACAATAATAATGAGAAAAAAAGGTAAAAAAAAATTTGGATTTGGTGGTGTCTTTTAATGAATTTCTTTATTTAATCAATATCAATAAAATCTAACATCGATATGACTGATAGAGACAGGTTTCTGAAATCAGCTTAATTTAAAATTCAACACAATTTTAATTGGCGGATTCACCTAAACAGACTTATTTTTAAACACTGCCAATATAGTCCTTAATTTTTTGATTTTCTTACCATTTGCACGTATAAATATTAAAAAAAAAAGATTATCATATAATTTTCCAAATGTATACACAAAAAAAAAAAAACTACCTAGTTAGCCAAAATATCTAAATATAATTTTTACTCTTAATATTACATCGCACCATTAAGATATTAGTGAAATAACTCAAAAAAAAAAAAAAAAAAATGGCAATTTTAAGTTATACAAAATATTTTAAAAATAAAAATTTCATCCTATAGTATGCACTTGTATATTTTTATATTAATATATATTTCAACAGTAAAATTATAAAATACTAGTGATTAAAATAATATGGACATATTTTTAAACTCAATTATCTCCATACTAATTGTTTTGAGTTACTATAATAAATCTTGATAATAAGACATTAGAATCTTTGGTAAATTTGTATAATAGAATTAGACACAAATGAAAAATAATTTACTTAAATAAAATTGTTTAGTTATTATTCTTATTATTAAATAAAAGAACAATTATTATATATACATTTATTGAAATATTTATGACTCGTAAGCCTATTTGGTATTGTAACTTTATTGTAGATATAATATGGCACAACTAAGAATTACAATAAATATAGTATGTTACATAAATATAAGATTCTGTTTGTAATTTTTATATAACCAGCACAATTTAATAATAGAATATTACATAATAATTATTTCAGCTAGAGTAACAACTTACATATCTGGTTAATAATTATTATATATTATTATTTTAGTTTAATACATAAAATAAAATTAAAAAATTATAATATCAATTTAAAAGCAGTCTTTTGTTTAATGAAACAAAAATTAACAAAAATAAATTTTTAAGAAAACCTATAAAATACAATTTGAAAACTATATAAAAAACAAAAAATGGAAAACATTTACAATATAAATTTCTTTTTCATATAAAGCATTACTATTAGTCAAACATTTTACTTAAAATTTTCTAAGTGCAGACTAACTAAATTATTTTCAAACAATAAAATGGAGCACCAAACAATATAAACAATAAAGATTGACAATACACTTAATTATACACACTGAGACCTTACTTATTCAAATAAACAATTTGAATAAACAAGGTCACAGTGGAATATAAAAGAAAGAACCATAAAAAAAGCTTTATAAAATAATTTTACTTAATATTTTGTAACAAATTATACATATATACTGTTATATATAGAATAGATATGTTTCTCAAATTTAAATAACTGTTTATTATTCTTGCTAATTACATATTGATGCGAACTGTTACATTCTTGTACTTAGAAGTTATCAAAGAAGAATATAATTTGAGTACAAGAAAGGCTCATTAACGATAGTCACATTTTATTTGAATGAACTGTTATGGTAAAACTATATCTAGTAATTATTTTGTTTCAAATACACATGCTAAATTTTTTTATTAAGTGTAATATCATATGAAAATTTAATTTGTTTTTACAAAATTTGTTAAAATTCATTAAGTAAAGCTAAACTCAACATTTGCACTTAAACCCTTATGTACATTGCTACACTGCCCCGTTGTCTTAGATCATCGGTCACAAGTAATAATTAATATGCATAATTAATTGTACAAAAATAAACACAAATTACATTAAAAAAAAAAAAAATGAGACCATTACAATTAGAGATATATAGACAGTAACATCAATTTAGTAGAAATGGAATGTGTCCAATTGATGTTATTTAGACACTATTAGAACTAAAGATCTAGGCACTAATCCTTTACGGGCACCACGACAACAGAGTATCCATTTGTCATCAACCTCCAGTACAAGTTGTAATTTTTCACCTTCATTGAATGATAAATGTCCATTATCAGCTGATAGACGATGAGACAGAGTTCTCACATAACGAACTAATTCTTTGGGTTTTCTTTGAGGTAAACTACTTGGTCGTACTACTTTATTAATTGATGTGGAGGGTTTTTTGGATCTAAAATAATTATATGTTTTATTATTCATAAAGTTTTAATAAAATAATTTTTTTTTTACTTGTTAATTGAAGGGTCTGTTTTGGTGGTACCAGGAGAAATTAAATTAGGCACCTCTTCCTTACAATTAGAACTCACTGGTCTTCTATTACTAAAACTATCTTGAGGAGGTTGAATAGGTGATAGGACTGGTCGGGGAATACGAGATTTTGAAAGTCTCCTATAATTACAACAAATAAATGATATATCTAAAAATTTAAATAATTTTAATAAACAATATATTTAATACCTTGAATTCAATCCGTCACTTATAGGGGATTCAAAATCTGGGGTATTTACTGTTAAATCTTTAGTACTAAGTAACTCCCATTTCATTTGTAATCTTCTAAACCTGTTACGTTGTACAGGTTTTTCTTGGTCACAATTGTTTTCAACTTCCATTCTATTATTAAATTAACATAAATACATATTATTTCACAACATAACAAATTAATTGAGTATATTTTTTATCATTAATACTAACCGAGTTCTTTCATCAATATTTTCAAGCCTCTCAAAAGCTGTTGCTAATTTAGAACCCATATGTACACCACTCCATCGCTTGCTAGCCGTACTTGCTACATCAACTGTTCTGGCTGAATCTACATATGATCTAGGTCTTGATGTTTCATTTTCCAGAGTTCTGGCAGTCTTTTTTAATAACCAAGACGTTCGATTCTGTTTTTAAATTTAATTTATTTTAATCCATTATTATTGTATTATACTAATAGATTAGAGATTAACACAATAAATTATTTAGTGAGTTTTTTTTTTTTGACACCAACCAGGAATAGCTATTATACAGAATAATTGATTTATCATTAACCATTAGATTTCTTCTAAAACAATAATAATTTAGAGAGATTTTTTAGGCCTATTTAAGTAATATTTATTTCTAAATTTACAAGTGATTAATTTTTTTAGGTCTATTCCTTATTCTTATAAGAGTTATACTTTATTTTTTTAAATGGCAACATAAATATTTTACTAGTTTGAGTATTATACAATGATCCAACTAAAAAACACAGCATAGTTGGGTTACAGCACAGTGAGGATGAGGCATTGTTGGGTCAAGTATAAATATATCTGACAGTGATTACAATCACTATCATAAAAAACGCTTAAATGCAAATCTGTAGATAGTGTTACATTTTAAAAAATTGGTGTATTATTCCAAAAGCTACATGATCTGCTAGTTCCTTATTAATATCCTGATTAAGATAAAGTATGTCGAATGAAAAAGGGATTATTAAAAAATATTATTTCTTATAAAAAAATTGTGTTGATCCATACACTTTTCAATAAGTTATAGCATTTTAAAGTAAAAAATGTAAAATATAAAATCGAGAATTTTCACACAAAAATAGCATTTGGTAGCCATTTTCACCACAAAGACAAGTCCAGAGGTCAAGTTTTCTTTTTTCCAAAATAAAGTACATTACATTAGCTTTAATTTAAGATATATATAAAAGTGTCAGACCTTTCGGAACACTTTCAAAAGTTAAGTTGAAATAGTTGTCATTTTAAATCCCCCCCTGTGGGCAGATTAAGTGTCAGATTTACAAAAAAAATATACTAAATGATAGGTAAAGATATCAAGCATCTATATAAAAATTATATTGATATGTTCATTTTTGAAAAAGTTACGGCAGTTTTTAGTAAAAAAAATTTCAAAAATTTCGAAAATTAGCGATTTTTTAATTTGTAATTTTTTTGGAGTTTTCCCCCATTTACGGGGAACGAGGGTAATTTTTGAGTGTAATGTCTTCGACTAGATACGATTTGTAATCTTTTGACGTATCGTTGAAAGAAATCCGTTCGATGAGAGCTGAGAAAAAGTGGTAACAGACAAAAAAAAAAAAACAACATTATAGTAAAACCAATACCTTCTCAGCTTCGCATCGAAGCTAAAAAAAAATATGTCGAATGAAAGAGGTATATAAATAGTATTTATCATAAAAAAATTCTATTGATCCATATATTTTTCAAAAAGTCATAGCATTTTAAAATTAAAAATATAAAAAAGAATTTTTTTACAAAAATCTTATTATTTAATTAACTTTGATGTTAGTTTTTACCATGAAAACAAAAAAAAATTATTTATAAAAAAAATATACCAAATGGTAGGTAAAGACATCATACATCTATTAAAAAAAATATATATATTGACTTGATCATTTTTGAAAAAGTTATGGTTAATTTATGGTTCTTGGCTAGTCCAATGATGGACGGCTTGGATATTATGGTCGGCTTACACCAGAAACCAGATACCACCAATGAGAAAATAACAAAAAACTCTCAATGGTACCTTGGGGTCTAACCCATGATACTGTGCGCCAAAAAACATAAGTTTTACCCACAAGGCTCTGCTGGACTTACAATAAAATAAATTAAAATATTAAATTTTTGAAAGTTTCATAATACTGCTTACACAAAAATAATTTATTGGTAACCATTAAACTAATTTTAAACTAAAGTTTAATTTGGCCCATAGAAGGCATCACATTTTTAACCCCAGGATAAACCACTGAAAATATTATATTATATAAATATAATATTAATATTGTATTCATATAAATATATATAATTTAGTTGATAATAAATTATTATNCATATAAATATATATAATTTAGTTGATAATAAATTATTATAAATACAATGTATACCATAAAATTTAAAAATGTATAAAATACTATGATTGAGAATGGTAATTATTAGTTTCAGCATTAAGCTATCATCTAAATTTATTTAATGCAATGTAAATATTTTTAAGAAATTATCTTACATTTATGTTTGAAAGGCTTTCATGGAGTTTTCGACATTCAAATAGTGGATCCAAATCAGGTCTATACTTTGATAAAGATTTGGTAGCAGTAATTAACCGGTCGACCAAATCTCTATGCAATGTACACCCAAAGTTAGCCCGAACAAACAAAGCATTTCGGTTATAAAATTTTTGCAATACTGATTCACGAGTTCGTATGTAACAAAGCCAAGCATCCAGTCCTCCAACACTAAAAAACAAAATTTATTTAAAATTCATATTTTATTTTTAACTTAAAATCATTTATTCACTTTAACAAGCCAAATACAAATGCATTGAACTTCATAACACCTTCATTAAGTGCTAGTTCATTGTTGATTTTTAATGTAAGTTCATTAAGTGCTGAAGAAAGAATACCTATAATAAAATAATTTTATTTAAAAAGTGAATTTTTATGGAATTCAAAAATAAGTTAGCAAAATTAATAACCATTTATTATACATTTAAAAAAAAACTTGCCTAAAACTACAATTTTTCAAAAATACATTTTTGGAAAAAAGAAGTTTTGAAATTGAGTGATTAATTAAATAATAATTATTTAATTAGTCATTATATTAAAACTATTGTAGATTATATAACTTAAAATATTTATTACCTTGTTGTGATGATGCCTCAATTACATGCCACACAGAACTTTGTACAGGCCCAAATGATGTTTCTAACATTGTTTTCAAATTTTCACTAAACAATGCATACAGAGCTGGACAAAAAACATCTAAAACAACTGAATGTAAATCATCTGTGTGGTCATTATCAAGGCAAAATGCAATTTTTTCAGCAGCAAAACAACAATTTCTAATTAAATCTGAAAAAAAATTAATACTTAATCACAAATATGTATATAATTATTATATATATTTTAATGTATATATACTTGATACATACAGAGTGGAACAGATCTAACTGACAACTTCTATAACTATTAATACAATAATCATTTCACTATAATTTTTCTTTTTTTTTTGTAATAATTTATGCTATTTTATATTATGTTATAATAAATTTTTTTAATTTTTTCTGTTAAAATATTTAGTAGATATTATTTTAGATTGAAAATTTCTAGTCTTTATATGTGTTGCTATCATATTAAATGCAAGTTCAAAGTATAAACTTGTTTATTTATCTAAAAAAAATGGATTTAAAATTACCTCGCCTTACCCTAACTGGTTTTTAGCACTCATCTTACAAAAATGATTAATGGGTCAATCAAAATTTCAGACAAATATTTATTGAGTTACAATCATTTTAATACATAGAGTAGGACTGTAATGCAGGGGTATGCTTTATAATTATACCAGTACAATCTGCTGTACCAACCTCAATGTATAGAAATGATTTTAAATCAGTAATTACTTATCCTAAAACTGTTATTCACCTATTAACATTTTTTGTAAGAAAAACAAAAAAAAAGGCTATTTTAAAATGTTGACAAAACTAAAAATTATTTAAATAAATAATTTTTTTATTATTAAAAATATATAACAAATTATGTTTTTAAAAGAGTCCAATAATCCAAAACTTGTTAAAAAAAAACTTTAAAATTTTAATTATATCAAAAATTATAAAAGTTATCAGTTAGATCTGTTTCATATACATATAATTAACATAAATTGTTAAGACATGCCTTTTTTATGTGAAATAGAATCTGTTGGTTTATTTATTTCATATTCTTCAAATTTGTCTGAATCTAACCCTTTTTTTATCTAAAAATGTACAAAAAAAATTAAATTGTGTACAATGCAAATACTATAACATTTACTTTAAAGTTTTTCAATAATTAAAAATTCTATGAGCTTTAAACTAAAAAAAAATTCCTTATAGTACTTGTACATTATATTATCATATTTTCACATGAGTTTTATTTGATAATCCAGTAAAAAATAAATTTTTTAACAAATTTGTAGTGCTTTTAGGTAATTAAAAGATTAAATGGGAGAAATGGTTGAAAAATTGAAAATTTTGTTAGTTGAAATTGAAATATTGTTAGTTTTTTGACAAAACATTGCAAGTCATTTATTAATTTTTTTTACAGGAGAATCTAAAAAATTTTCAGATTTACATTTGTTGCTGTAGAAACAAGATTTTGTTTTGAGCATAAAAATGAATAATTTATCATGAAATTTAGCTCATATGATATTAATATGTATAAAAAATAAAGTGTATATATTTATAATATTTATGTCTTATTTTTAATGCCAACGTTTAGAACTCGTTTCAGAGTTTGAAACGTCAGCATACTAAAAACTTAGATTTATCTATAAATATTATAAATAAAACAACAAACCATGAAACACATTCATAATGTGTATATATATATATTTTAACAAAAATAATATCATACTGTGAGTAACCTAATATAGCAAGTCAAAAAATAACTACCATAATAACCCAAAATAATATTCTAATTCATGATACAAATTTATCATTTCCATTTATTGATTAACAGTAATATTTAGTATTAATTATTCAATTTTATATATACGTCATAATATGGATAAGGCATTGTCAGGATGTCATATTTACTATAAGAAAATGTGTATAACTTAAAAATGACAAAATTTGAGTTACTACACTCAAGTACTCACAGTACGATATGGCTTACAAATTTCATCATATAATCCCGATGGTATCTAGATTTTTAATAGACCATAATTAAAGATATTTATTATGAAGTTTTAATATTACTTGAATAGTAGCTTGATTAGGAGAATTTGGTGGTGTATGATGACCAGCTCTATGCAAATATTTATTCATTTGTGATCTCAGATTAACTTGAGACTTTTTGTTTTGTCGTAATATACTATCAAGTCTTTTCGCTTCATCAACATATGGATTTGGACTATCACAGTTGCTACCAGAACATTCAACTCCTTCATCTTCTGAAGTTCCAACATCAGAGCTCATCTAGAAAAAAATAATTTCCTATACCATTTACTAAATCTTAAGTGTAATATTACTCACAGTAGGAATATTTAGATCAACAATTAGTTGAGATGGAAGAGAACGCCTTTTATTTTGGTATTCATTCAACGTTTCTGGTTTCATGTCATTCATACTAAGCCTTAAAAATAGTTTACAATTAAAAAATTTCCTATATTGAAATATATCCTTGAAGGGAAAATTAAGTTTTAAAAATATTAGTATTATACTTGAGTTCTATTCATACAAAAATCACAGGATTCATTCTAAATGAATCTCGTAGTGATATCTGAAAGTTTTTTTTTTTCTTCAGAGTACTTTCATACGTAATTCTTAAATGAGTACTTGGCCAGAAACTGACCATGTCTTTAACAATACAAATAAAAAGCTATGTTGCTAAAGAAAGTTAGATTGAAGCTTATGAACTAAAGAGAAAACAAACTTGGCTACAATGTAGATATCATTACTTTGATAAGCAACTATTTTAGGAGGGAAGAGGAAGCAATTTGGCCCTTTTTTATAGTTAAAATTTTATTGAGGATATCATTCTTTTTTGTTGGCTTAAGTCAACAAAATACGTTATTTTCATGGACCATTAAAAAATCAAAACGGGTACTGCCTCCCTAAAATGATGCTCCTGTCTGGAGACAGTTTATTTTAAGAATTTAACAATTTTGAAAATTTTATCTTTACTTACACTGTAAAACCTATCTTTGTGCCAAGTTTAACCTATATGAAAAATATCTTATAATTTTGATGTCGAGTCAGTCAGTCAATAATGAAAATAAAAGTTTTTAAATGGCTATAAATAACATTAAAAGCAAAATTTTTGTGTTCTAAGCTACTAGAGCCTAATCTATATTTTATATTTCAAAGGTCTATTTTAAAGAAAAACAGAGTTGAATCTTAGAGAAACCAGGTGAATTATTTTGTGTAAGGATACACTGCCATTGCTTAACCTTTACTACCACAAATTGCTAATGGAAACAATAGGAAAATCTATGTAGCCCAGTACAACAAAAATTCCTGGAATTGCACATTGAGATACAATGGGTTACTGATTAAGCTAGGTAGGTCACCTATGAGATTAATATTACTTAGGAATTTACCTTTTAGGGACTTCACCTAGAGGTCTTCGCAATTCATTTTTTATAGGAATCTTTGAGTTCATTCTACCAGCAGGTGGTTTATGATTTTGATTAGAATCATCATACTGGTAAATATACATGTTATCCTTTTTATTAGTTGATTTAATTTCTGATTGGCAAAATGAAGGCTCAACCAATTTTAAATTAATATTCTTGAAACATTCTTTTAACTCTGGTGTCTTTGATAACGCTGTTGATACATTATGTGGTAACAAAATAGCTAAAGAATTCCAATCATTAACATGATCAAATCCTTTTGCACAAAGTGACTTTAAATCAAAAGAATTTTCTATTGAAGAACAATGTTCTTTAATAGAAGTAGTTGTTAATTTTTTAAATTCCACTTCAGGAGATGGCAATGGTGAAAACTTTTGTGGTATAAGAAACACATTAGTTATGTCAACAGATGCTTTAGGATTTTTTAAAAATGAAAGATCCGGTAATGTATAACTTGGAAACATCACATAAACAGGACTACTCGCACACTAAATAAATAAGACATTATTATAATTAATTTATATCAAATTAATTTATTTATTTTACCTTGGTATCAGAACTAATATTGATACTATTATCCATTGAAGATGTCTGCATACTTTTATTAATACTTGAACCTTTCCATAGGTGTTTATTAGTCATTATTGATGAATTTATTGATCCATTGTTATTACTAATACATTTAGAATTAACTGTATTTTTGTTTTGACACATAAGACTATCTTCTAAATTATTTTTGCAAGTGTCAGATGTATCAGCTATGACTTCATTTTCACTAATTACTAAACTACTATCTGACTGACGATTTTTCTTTTGACTTATGAACATTTTTACCAAACTAAATTTAGTGCTATTAGTTTGTTCTTTTGTACCTGATAAATCAAACAACTTAGCTGCTCTGCAGTCTATAAAAAAATAATTAAAATATTGGCTAAAATTCATTAAATAACAGACAGGTTTTATAACATACAAAACATTCGACTCAATTTATTGCCTAATATTAAATATCAATGTAGGCAAGTCAGTATTTTAACTTCTATAATTGTTATAAGTATAAGTTAGAAATTTTTAACAAAAATGGAAATGTATAAAATTTAAGTCTATTTTAATTTTTGTATTGTGAAAATAGTTCATTAATAATATTTAAAATAAAATATTGCAAAATTTAATTTAAAGTAATATTAAAAATTACAAGTGCCTTGAGTATCATAAATTTAAGATGGTAACTACTAATTTCGGCACTAAGCCATCATCAGGTTACATTTAAAAATCACTAAAAATAAATAAATTAAATTAAACATAGAATGAATAAATAAAAATAATCAAAAAAGTCACGTTAATTATTCTATTTATAAAAGTGTTGTATAAAAATTTAAGATAATTAGTAAAACTGTGTGTTTTTGTTATTAAACCACCTAATGTTATTAAATAATTGAAAAAATCAATTCATTTCGAAATTAAACAAAAGAATCAATATAAATGGGAAATTTAGATAAAAAAAATTTTTTATTACATAAAAATGTCCAACTTTTTAAAGTTTTCTTTACAATAAAATTTAAAAAAAACCTAGCACAGTGGGGTCGCGGCAGTGGGGACGTGTCATAGTTGGATCCAGTATAGATGATATCTGACAGTGATTAAAATCACTATCATAAAAAACACTTTGATACAAATCTGTAAATAGTCTTTAATTTTAATAGATTGGTTGATTATTCTAAAAGCAAAATTAAGTCCTATTTCTATCATTATTCCTAATTAGTAGTTGATTTATAAGTATAATTTATGAATAAATATTTATTAAAGCAATTTAACGTAGTATGAAATTGATATTTAATAATTTAATATTGTAATTTTTTCGAATAATTTATAAAAAATTATAAAGTAATTATTATTTTTATAGCAAACATGTATAAAAATTGAAGGGCTTGCACACAGAACTCTTTTGATAATAATTTGTTGTTAATTATGAATAAATGGTTTAAAAAAAATTTTAATCAGAGAAAAAAATATAATTTTACTATTCAATTTTCATGTTAATTTCAAATCAGCAATTATATGTTTTCCAATACCAATAATTTTTGATATTATTACTAATTAGTTAAAAACTATAGGATATAACTACAAGGAAAATAGTTCTGAATATTTCAATTGTATCATCTATTTAAACACCAATAATTACACAGAAATTATTAATATTTTAAAAATAATCAGTGCAAAATATCATTTTTAACCTATATTTTTGGTATTTTAAAGTTGATTTTTTGAAAGTTTATAATATAAAAAAGTTGAATTTTTTACCATAACTTTATGTTCAACATTAATTTTGAAATTTACATTAAAAAGAAAATTTTATGAGAATAAAAAATAGTATTCTTAAGATTAATATGCAGTCAGGAAATTTATAAATACTATTTACTGTAAATTTATCAGAAAAGCTCAATATTTTTATTGTAATAGATCACTTAAATAGAAATCATAGTAATCTACTAAGTAATTTTGGGTGATTAAAAATATTCTGCAATTGAAATATTCAGAACATAATTAATTTTAATGATATACTTTAACTAAAAAAAACAATCAAAATG